GGTAAGAGTATTAGATGCACTCTCAGATTGTGAGGGGAACTATGATAAATTTATGGTAATCTTTACTTTTCCATATTTACCGCTTTCATCATAAATCATAACCAGAAAAGAAAGAAACACATCTCTAAAAACCACAAAAAATTTATTACACCTAATTCACCCCCTCTTAGACGCACTCTTAAACTTACGGTTTTCCACCAAGATCAAAGTGCATATTTGGGGGATTTGATAAGATTTTGCAAATATTGGATTCGATCAAGTGAAAGTTTTAAAAAATGGGAGGTTCTTGCAAAAGAGTAGCGTGAGACAGAATCATTTGAAAATATTGGGTGACAATAATTTATAATTTAGATTCGGCCAAGTGAAAGCTTTGAAGAGCGAATATTCTTGCAAAGGAGTAGCGTGAGAGGGTGGATCAAATTGATATTGCTGGGTGACTTGATCAAACTCATATCAAGAAAAGAGAAAGCGTTAAGATCAACATCAAACTTAGGGTTTGTAGGATTGAATTGCTATATTTCTCTTGTAAATGAATCTTCTACAAAGTAAGATTGATATCTCAATTCCATTTAGAATTGAGGGTAGATGTTGCCATAACAAGGACGATTGGTGAACTGCCTAAACAAATTTTTGTGTCGTTCTCTCTCCCTCTCCCATTTACTTTCAATAAGCAAATTGTTAAATTCATTGATTGTGAAATAGATTTGCATAAACATATCCTTTGATTGTGAATATTATTTGCTGATTGCATTACAATCAATTTGATTGTAAGTGATATTGCATATAAATAAAATCAAAAGGAAATTCTGAAAAATCGATTGTGCATCAAGTGTTTGATAATTACTACTTTTCGTTTTATTAATAATTTCATTGGAAATTGGTTAACGATTGTGATTATTGTATTAAGTTTTTATCATCACTCTCTAGTTAATTTGATAGCTACATATATTCGAATTTTCAAAAATTAATTCGGTTTAAACGACTTGTTTGATTTAGACTAAATCTTTCGCTTGTCATAATTTTTTAATTATTTTTTCAAAAGAATTTTAAAAAAAGAATTTTTACATTAGAGATAGATTCATCTCTCTAAATAAATTATCGTCGTCTAACATTTAATTTAGATAATCTATTCTATTTAGTAGAATAATACTTAATGGTTCTTGTATAAATATTTTATTTAAATAAAGTAAAACAAACTTTCGTGTCATAAGATGGGGTGTATGATTTGTAGCTTGAAGATGTCCATTTTTAGTTTGATTCTAAACAAGTTGAAATTTTTCTTAGCAAAAAGATAGAGGTTTTGCAATAAAAACTATTAATACTTTCTCGTTAAATTAATTCAGTTGATAACTATATAGAAACATCAAATATAAGTGGTATGTTTGAACACGCTACATATCTCACATTTAAAAAGTGAGTTCCAATCCTAAACTAAGTGACCAAAAAAATACTCACGCATTTCGATTATTTTAATTGAGATTCAAAATACAACAATCATCATTATTATGAGGGTGTTTCCGTCTTTCTAATTGAGATTCTAAATATAACCATCATCATTATTGTGAACAAAATGATGCTGCTACTACTACTAGTATTCTTTTATCATTTTTTACTTTTAAGGTGTGTTTATTTAAAAAATTATATTTAGAGTTTAATGATAATGCTATGTTAATGTATATATATATATATATATATATATAGATATATATATATATATATATATATATATATATATATATATATATATATATATATATATATATATATATATATATATATATATATATATATATATATATATATATATATATATATATATATATATATATATATATTAAAATTTATTTTGTAATTTGACATTTTACATAATTGTTATTGATTAATATTATAAAAATAATTTATATTGTCAGTATATCATATCTTTTCTTTTATATTTATAATTTTTGGAATATTATTTCATCGAACATTAATATCAAAGAAATGAATTTTTTGTCTATATGTTTGATAAATATATGAATTTTCTTAGAATATTTGTAAAATATATTTAATTTAATTCTTTAAAAAACAATTTAAAAGAGTTAATTAAAATAATTTGAAACGGAAGGTTTAAGGTGATTACATCATATTTTTATGAAAACATAAGATTTTCACATTTTTATATGAGAATAAAAAATAATATATTAATAAATAAATCATATTTTCAAAAATAAAATATATTTAAATAAAATTTAATAAAACTTGAAACAAACATGAAAATATTCGATCTTACGCACTCCAGAGGATAAAATTTGAATCCATGAAAAAAACACACATTTAAAAAAACACTTATAATTATAATGAGAGAGTTCTATTTTTCTAAACTTACTTCTTGTTTTTTATCCATATCTATAGGATTTGAAATTTGAAGAGAGTACTTCTATTAACATCATTTATTTGCTAGTAATTTGGCAGGTAAATGGGCAATAAGTGATTGGTTTTCGTCCATTACTAATTGCTACTAAAACGTTAAAATCTTTAGTCAATATCAACTTTTCTTTTCTGTCTAATTTATAGTCAATATCAACTTTTTTTAATATGTGAGGGAGGTTCCACTTACATTCTTTAATTAAATATACACTATATTTGAATGGAAATGAAAAATCCTTGGGACCAAACCATCAACAAAAATATCTATTAGAAAAAGGTTTAAATATATGTTTAATTGACTAAAAAATATATTTTTTCTAGACTTCCTTAAGAACTATGAGTAATTTATTCACCATTCAACAAAAATTAGTAATATAAGTAAACTTATAATAAAAATAATAATAATTTGTGAATATTATTTGTAATTTTTTTGTTTTTAAATTTTTTAATTTATAAATGTCAACAACTTATTTATATTAATACATAAATAAATATTACCATAAAAATTTGAATAATAAATTAATATATATACTAATTTAACACTATGAATAAATTATCCTTAATTTTACAAAGAAAACCTAGATGTTGCCTATCTTTTATTTCATAAACATATAAACTTTATTTTATTTTTAATAACTGTAGTTTTTTTGGATTGTTTTTTATTTATCGTAAATGTACCACTATTTGCTTTTTTTATTTATTTCACATTTTATTTACTTTTTACAAAATTGATTTATCTAAAATTAGTTTTGCAGTATTTATTTTAATTCTTATTTTAAAACACTAAAAAAATACTATATATACTACTTAGACAAAATCTAATATATGTAGTTTTGTATGAATTATAAAAAATGTAAGATATTTATAAACATTATTTTCTTTAAAAGAGGGGAATAGATAGAAAAACAGTCAAAATTTTTCGTAGTTTTTATAAAATATTTATGTAAACTAAAATAATTAAATATTTATTATTAATATAATTTTAATTTTGAAAATAAAATTTTTAAATATTTATGAAAACCCTCTAACATATTTTTTAAATAAAACATTATGTTCAAGAGTGAGAATGCTACAACAAGAACCTTAATTTTCTCTCACAAATTATAATATCATTAAATATTAAAGTAATTTTTCTTACATAAAAAATAATAAATAAAAACACATATTTTTTGAAATACAAAATAATAAATAATAAAAAAAAATTAAATAAAAAAGGAACAATGAATTGCGAAGGTGGAGTCAGAGGAAGCGATCACGATTCAAAGAAAGGTAAAGGATTGTGAACAAGAGATGAAATTCTACAAAAGATCACATGGCCCCGATAGTATTGAGAAGCTTTTAACGGTGAAACGACATCACAACCAGTTGCTTGTTAAGGAAGAAGTTTATTGGAAGTAGAGAGTGAAATTACACTGGCTAAAAGACGGTGATTTGAACACTAAAATTTTCCACATGACCGCGTCATCTAGAAGGAAGTTTAAACAGATTGCAATGCTTATTGATGAGAATAATATTGAAGTAAAAGATTTTGAAGGGTTGAAAGCAATATCCAAGAATTATTTTGACAGTTTGTTTCTTGAAAGACATTGTGAATATGAGCCGGTTCTGCACCTTATTTCCCTGGTTGTTACTACCACAGATAACGACACTTTAACGACATCAATCACCAAAGAAGAAATGTTTACAGCGCTGAAGCATATGCATCTGGAAAAATCCCCGGGTCCTAATGGTTTCAACCTGACTTTTTATCATAATTTTTGGGATGTTTGCGGCGAGGAAATTTTTCAGGCACCAAGTCATTGGCTGGACTGTGGCTTCTTTTCAGCATATATGACCGACACAAACATTTACCTCATTCCAAAATGAGATAACCCGTTGTCGATGAAAGATTTGAGACCTATTTCAGTTTGTAATGTAGTGTACAAGGTGATATCGAAAGTACTAGCCAATAGATTGAAAACGTGTTTATCCAAATGTGTTTCGGAGGAACAATCTGCTTTCATGGAGGAAAGATCAATTCTTGATAATTCTCGTATTCCGTTTGAGATTATACACAAGTTGAAACGTAAAACTCGCGGTAACATTGCAAAATTAGCACTTAAAATGGATATTAACAAGGCCTACAATAATGTAGATTGAGGTTTCTTAAAAAATATGATGCGGATTATGGGTTTTTCAGAGAGTTTGGTACATTGGATGATGATCTGTGTGACATCTATTAATTATTCGGTGATGCTAAAATCAAATTGTGTGGGACCTATTCATCCAGGAAGGGGCTTGAGACAAGGAGACCCACTTTCTCCTTATCTCTTTATTCTGATAGTAGAGGGTCTTTCCTCATTAATCAGGAACACCGTGAACAAAGGAGACATACACGACATCAAGATATGTAGGGGGCACCACCAGTGTCTCACCTACTTTTTATTGACGATTGTTTTTTGTTTTGCAGGGCTAATCTTGTTGAAGTCCGTAATCTAATGGAGATTCTGAAGGTGTATGACGGGGCCTTGGGCCAAGAAATCAACTCGACTAAATCCGAGGTCTTTTTCAGCCATAACTTAAGCATCCAAGCGAAAGAAGATCTCTTCCGTATTATGGGTGTCCGTCATGTATTAGGTACAAGTACATATCTGAGGTTACCTTCGATGGTGGGTAGAAGCAAGAAGGCGACATTTACTTTTATCAAAGACAGGATATGAAAATGAATTAATACATGACAGGGTCAACCTATGTCGAAGGCTGGTAAGGAGGTTATGATTAAATCAGTTCTTCAGGAAATTCCATCATATGTTATGAGCGTGTTTATATTGCCTGATACTTTGGTGGAGGAAATAGAGAAGTTGTTGAATTCTTTCTGGTGGGGAGGAGGTAGTAATAATAAGGGTATTAGATGGTTAGCATGTGAGAATCTGACTTATCCAAAGAAGGAATGAGGGTTGGGGTTCCGTGATTTCAAATATTTTCAATATGGCCATGGTGGCAAAGCAGGGTTGGCATATCATGACCAACCAAGACCTTAGTCTCTAGAGTTTCCAGAGCCAAATATTTTCCTAACTCTTCTTTTCTGGCAGCAAGCTTAGGGACCAATCCAAGCTTTGTATAGAGGAGTTTTTGGAAAGCTCGAGAAGTGTTATTATTAGGGAGTAGATGGATGATTGGGGATGGTAGTAAGATAAATGTGATGTTGGATCCGTGGATAAGAGGAGAAAGGGGATGTTGGTTGGAAGCACCACATGAGCAACATGTTTATAGCTTGATGGTCCAGAAGCTTATGGATCCTAACCATAAGTAGTGAGATTGCAACAAAATTACACAATTATTTTCATCTGAGACTGCTAATAATATTTTACTGGTTCCCCTTGTGAATGCAGTTACGGAGAATAGAATTGTGTGGCAGGAAGAGCAGAATAGAATCTATAGTGTAAAAATAGGTTATAAAATTTGATGGCAGGAGCAGTATAAAATCAAAAACAGAAGGTTGGAAGGTGACTTATGGAGCTTATGGAGAATCAAAGCGCTCCCAAAAACTAAACATCTTTTTTGGCGCTTATGTCAGGGCTTTCTGCCTACTAGAAATAATCTCCGAAAACACTTTGTTCCTTGCCCTCATAGTTGCCAATTGTGTAATGCCGACGTGGAAGACGAGTGACACATTTTCTTTGATTGTTTGTTAACGACTAATTGTTGGAATGTTGCAAGGCTTGATCATATTATTAGGCCTCAACTGGCCATTAAGCAGGAAACACGATATGAAATCTAAGACATTTGTAGTAAGGAAGATTTCAAAGTCGCAAGGAGAGTGGTGGTCATGATTTGGGTTCTTTGGAATAATAGGAATAATTGGATCTGGAATGAAGAGAAGTTGAATGCAGATCATCTAGGGGCACAAGGCTATCATTTGTGAAAGGATTGGTTTTTTGCCCAAGAGCCGCCTGGAGATGCTAACAATATTACCCAACATCAGAGTACTTGACAACCTCTTTCAACTGGTTGGTTGAAATGTAACGTGGATGCGGGGTTTAATGATCAACTGGAGACCACTAATAAAGGGTGGTGTATTCGAGACAGTGTCAGCGGGTCCAGGGTGGCAGGTACGTCATGGGATAGATGTTGATATTCCATTGTGGAGGCGGATGCATTGGCTTTGAAGGAAGCGATAACAATCCAGTTAAACTTGAATCATCTCATATTTAAAAGTAACTCACAATTAGTGGTTCAAACATTACACGCTACTTCATCCAATAACTCTGAATTTAGTCGGATCATTAATAGTATTAAGAATCTTATAGTTACTAAAAACGACTTTGAAATCAAGTTTATTAAACGTCAAACTAATTATATTACTCATAGTTTAGTTCGAGCGACCACACACATTATTTTATTTGAATCCTCTTTTGTATTGATTTATATTTAATAAATAAATATTAAGTTTGCTTTTCTCAAAAAAAAAAAGAAAAAGTTAAATATTTAAAAGGTCTATTCTACGGTATAGAAGAGTGCCGCCGCGTCTCTCAAATCATTCATTTCACTCACTACTCTCTCTCTCTCTTTCTCGTTTCCATTTCAACTTCTTCTGAAGCTCCTTCTTACCAGGTTCCTTTGATTTCTTCAATTTCAATCATAACCATTTTTCATTTATTCCACAATCTTCAATTCACACCATTTCATTCTCCATTTTTCGCAGATCGAGCTTCGGAAACTACAAACTTAGATTCAATTTCCAATCTCTTCATTCATGGCAACAACTTCGTTACATCTTCAATGCTACGGCGTAAACGCGAAACCGAATCTTCCACCACTGACGCTAGCGCAGAGAACGAACCTTTTCATCAACAATCACGAAACGGCGTCGTCGTTGAAGGTCACGTGCAAGTCTTCCAGTGATGTGTTGGAGAAGCACGTGACCGAGAATGGGAGGAACGTGACGAGTGAAGATGAGAACAGAAAGAGTTACACTTGTGTGATGAAATTCGGTGGCTCTTCAGTTGCTTCCGCTGAGAGGATCATGGAAGTTGCTACTCTTGTTACGAGTTTTCCTCAAGAGATTCCTATTGTTGTTCTTTCTGCTATGGGAAAAACCACTAACAAGCTTTTGCTGGTATAACATACCTTACTTTTTTATTTATTTTTATTTATTATTTATTAATCTAACTGATTGAATATTTTTATAAACCATTATGTGGAGTTTATTGAATTAAGCTTATTATAAACATGCAATAAAATATTTTAATAAGCTCTCACAAACACTTACATAACAACTTAAGTTGTTGGATGAATTCCAATAAAGAGTAAATAAGCTATTCTCCCTAATGCATTCTAACTGCTAAGTAAATTTAAATACTAGATATGTTAATAATTTATTTGTGAAAGATTCCTTTGTTTTCTGATGTTGAACAACTCTTTTCAAAGAAATGATGTTTGTTTTGTTTTGTTATTAGGCTGGAGAAAAAGCTGTGAGTTGTGGTGTTACTAATGTCTCTTGTATTGAAGAGCTTAGCTTTATAAAAGATCTGCATCTCAGGTTTGAGCAACGGGGTCCTTTTTTTCCTTTTGCAATTATGACGAAAGTTATGGAAGAAAAACAATGAAGGTTCACTTTAAAAAATAGAAAAGAAAATTATAGTGTTTTCTATTGATGTTATGTTCTTACCTGCATCTCAGGACTGTGGATCAGCTTGGAGTGGACAGATCTGTTATTGAGAGTGAGTTATTTCTTTTGGTCACAGTGTTGATCATTTGATTGTTAGATTGGATGATTTGTTTTTTATTTATTTATTTATTAAAATGTCTCTTATAGATGCTGAAAAATGCACTTGATTTTTTCTTTGTTCAAAATACGTACTTGCATATTTGTTATTGTTGTCTTCATTTCTTTAATTTTGTTGAAAGTCTCGTCGTATTGAATGAAATGCAGTTTGAAAATGTGTTTATAAGTGGGAGACATCCCTTATCTTACAAACCATTTTTGTATGGTTAAATTAGGCCCAACCCGAATTTGAAAATCGTATGATAGTTTATCTAAGATCCGTTGAACTGCCCATTATCGAGCCATTAGGTTAGGATCCAGATATCTAATCCCAGGCATTAGGGGTGGGTGTTGGGAGTTCCACATTGTGGATGAAATATGATATGAAAATGTATTGAAAGTCCAAATGTCATTTTTATAAAACCAAAAGCAGCAGCTACATTGCACATGCACTAGATATGGAACTATTTATACCATAATTTTGATCCCTGTCTCCGTAGATATGGAAGTTTATAGTAAGAGCTTTGTTATGTTATACAATTTCAACATGGACTATGGCTCTATAAATGATCCAGAAAAATAAATTATTGTCGATTGGATGACGCTGTAGATCATAGAATAGGATTGCTTATGTTTACCTGGAATCAACTATTAAATTAAAGGTTTTAATAGTATAAATCCAACTATTGGCTTATCCAATTTACAATCAGCTGAAATTTACCTGTAAAGCATGGAAGATTAAGATTGTGTAGCTAATGAAATTTCTAATTGATATTGTAAGAAATCGCAGACATCTGGGAATCCAACTATCATCATGTATCTCTCAAACCAAGAAAAAGCATAACTCAGTTTTTGATTAAAATTGCAAGCTTAACAAGTTGCACGTTTTTCGTTTTGTTTTATCAATTTTGGACCTTCTTTATTCTCAATATGTTTGCTCTGTAATTTTCACATATTTTCATTCCTTTTTGTTGTTAACTTGGTTTACGCACGTCAAAATATTTTCAGAGCACCTTGAAGAATTGGAGCTACTTTTGAATGGGATAGCAATGATGAAAGAGCTAACTAAACGGACGCAAGACTATTTAGTTTCTTTTGGAGAATGCATGTCTACTAGGATCTTTGCTGCATATCTTAATAAATTGGATGTCAAGGCCCGCCAAGTACATGTTCTTATTGTTTATTTAAATTTAAATCTAATACATGCTGTAACTAAAAGGTTGGTAGTGTTTATTTGTATTGTTGTTCCTGATCATAGTTTGTTGCTAATTTATTGGTCTGGCAGTACGACGCATTCGAGATTGGTTTTATAACAACGGATGACTTCACAAATGCGGATATTTTAGAAGCAACTTATCCAGCTGTTGCAAAGAGGTTGCATGGCGACTGGCTCTCTGATCCTGCAATTGCAATTGTTACTGGCTTCCTCGGAAAGGTAACATGCTTTTCCAACGCTTCTTTTAATTTCTTCAGGATTTTGTGTAACTAAAATGATAATTTTCTGATGAAAATAAATGGAACTTATTTTTCTTCATGAAGGCCCGAAAATCATGTGCAGTGACAACACTAGGTAGAGGTGGAAGTGATTTGACAGCTACAACAATTGGGAAAGCGCTAGGGTTACCTGAGATCCAGGTTTGTGCATAACAACACAGTTCTTCATTTCAAAATGGAGACAAGAAAGACAAATTTAATTTAAATCACATACACAGGTATGGAAGGATGTTGATGGTGTCTTAACCTGTGATCCAAATATATACCCGAAAGCAGAACCTGTCCCCTTTTTGACCTTTGACGAGGCTGCTGAGCTAGCTTACTTTGGTGCTCAGGTATCCTTACCCTTACCTATTAACTTATCTAGCCCTTTATGACAAAAAGCCATACGATGTCTCTTGTATGGGTTGAAAAAGATATTAGATTCTTATTCTAGCTTACATTCTTGGATCTGTTTTTGTTTTGAATCACACTTCTATGATGTTACTTTATAGATACTATGTTTTTTTAAGCTTCATAAATGCTGTGGTTTTATTGATTTTCTTGATAGAAGGAAAACAAACCTACTATTGAGGGGGAAAAATTCAACTGCACAACTACATGATTCAATTACCATTTTGTTTTACAATTGAGAACCACATAAACACAGGAAGAAGTTCTTTGGATTCTTATTATTACTAAAGTCTTTCAATGTGCTAGAAGAGGTTATTCCAAGGTGAAAATGAAATCAACGTTACCCAAACAAGTTATTCCTAATGTAGTTGCCAACAATGTGAAAATAAGCGGATCGTTGTTTTGAAGCTACTCTTGTTCAGAAATATTGATAAAAAGCCAGCTGTACCACTTTTTTGGTATGCTGTTGTCGACAAAACGACATTATTTTGGGCTGTGACATAAGCATTCAGTAATATAAGATTATTTGTTCTGTTAATAATAATCTGACATGTCAATATTTCGATGTTATCTAATTTATTAGTTAGATGTTATCACCTTTCGTGCTGTTGTGAAGAGCATGACTGTTGTAGATCAAATGGATAGACTTGCAAGTTAGGTTATCAAAATTATCTTATTTAGGCCAAGTCTAAACCATTTATTATTCTCTGATTTGCAGGTTCTGCATCCGCAATCTATGAGACCTGCTAGAGAAGGTGATATTCCAGTTAGGGTTAAAAATTCCTACAACCCTAAAGCTCCGGGTACTCTCATCACCAAGGAAAGGGATATGAGCAAGGTTTGTAGAATTTTGTTTTGCAATAAAAAGTAACTCATTATGTTAAGTAAGACTTGCACAATATTTAAGTTTTTCATTTGCAACCTACAGGCAATACTAACAAGCATTGTTTTGAAACGTAATGTGACCATGTTGGATATAGTGAGCACTCGTATGCTTGGTCAGTATGGTTTCCTTGCTAAGGTGAGAGTTAATGCCTTTCAGACTTGTCATCGTTGTCATTGAATGCCTTCTGTTTTTCATACTTTTACATCTATACAACAGGTATTTTCAATCTTTGAAGATTTAGGCATATCAGTTGATGTTGTTGCTACAAGCGAAGTCAGTGTTTCCTTGACTTTGGATCCATCAAAGCTATGGAGCAGAGAACTAATACAGCAGGCAAGTGTAAGGCATTTCATATCATTGATCAGTTTGTTCACCGAGTGAAAATCTCCCCGATGAACTTAACAAATAAATGCCTGCTCTATAAGGTGTTAGTCACAGTGGTGTTTTTTGTTCCCCAACAATGTCATAAATTTAATTGTATGTCTTCCTTTGTTTTTAAGCAGGAACTTGACCATGTTGTTGAAGAACTAGAGAAAATTGCTGTGGTGAATCTTCTACAAAATAGATCCATTATCTCTCTCATCGGAAACGTTCAGCAATCATCGTTAATTTTGGAGAAGGTTCTGTATTAGTCTCTCTTATTTAAATTTAATTCACATTCTTCATATTTTATTAATATTTTTTAGATTTAATTGCTTTTTGTAGCATCATAATATTTTAGTTGGTCACATAAGAAAATCACTGATTATCATTCTACTACAGGCATTTTGTGTTCTGCGGAGACTTGGTGTTACTGTTCAAATGATCTCTCAGGGTGCATCTAAGGTATGTATCCACTTAATCAACTCTATATTATTCCTCCCAATATTTTATTCACTCTTTTATTTTTGCTTCAAGGTGGTGATGATGAAACGTATTATCTTGTATTATAAACTTTCCTCCTCCATCAATATTATTTTGGCTTTCAAACACTGTCAACTCAGGCATTTTTCCATATAAGACATCAAAATAGTTTCATTCTCATGTATTCTATCTGTTCTCTGTTTTGTTTTTGCCAGGTGAACATCTCATTGGTTGTAAATGACAGTGAAGCAGATGAGTGTGTAAGAACTCTTCATGAAGCTTTCTTCGAAACCGAGTTAGAGTTACAGAAAGATTACACAAATGGAAATGGTTCTGTTGCTAAATCATCTTAGGAACAAATTTTGAGCCTCAATTCTTTGTCCTGAAATGCTTTTGTCAACCAAGCAATTTTCAACTCATTCTAATCTTGTTCGATTGAGATGTAGCGATGGCAAAGCATAGTAAGTGTATACTAGTCGAGAGTATTGCTAGAGAGTATTGCTAGAGAGTAGACGTGTAGTTGGCCTATATTTTAATAAACCATGACATGCCAGAAGCTCCAGAAGTTCCCTTCATGTCTTTTAATGAGTATGTATTATAGGGTTCTCTTTGAGACATTAATATTATTGATGTAACCTATCTTATTGAACTGAAAAAGTTTATTTTTCAGGTTCAACTAGTTGGATATTTATTGTCATGATTCTTAGAATGTATTGGTAATGTTAGTGCATCTAAGTAATTCGAGGAGCCTTTTTGATCTTGATTTAAGTCAAGTATGATTAAATTTGTGAAACACAAAATTGTAGTTTTTTTTTTCCATAGCTTTTCAGGAAACATGTTTCATGGCAACTTACAAGTATGGGAGGAAATAACTTGCCACCTCTAACATTGGCAACCCCCCATTTTGCATGCTTTTATATCACTATACTTTTGTTAAGAGTTTTTACCAGAAATTTTGAAACTACATTGAAAAATTGAAAATAAATTAGAAAATTTGAAATTTCCATGAGTTCTTATTGGAAATTTCCATGAGTTTTTATTGAAAAGTTTAACAAAATCATGCAAGCAAAAGGTTTTTAAAATGTGTCGTCTATACGAATTGTGTTATTGGAAGTTGGATATGCAAATATACAAAATTGAATATATAATGAAAGCAATAAATTGGGATTAATATACTTCAATCAATTAACATTCTTATTTAATGTTTATAGGAAGTTATTAGTAATATTATTTCCAATGATAACAAGTAAAAGACAAATTGAACAATTTGTCGAACACTTGGTGTGCAACAAAATTTTATGAATTTTCCTTTGAGTTAACCAAGTTAAACAATTTGTCAAACACTTATATACAATCAAAGTTTCAGAATTTTCCTTTGAGTTGTGTTAATATGAAAAAGCACTTATAATCAAAAGTGATTATAAGCAATTCAACACACAATTCAAAACAAAAATAGTCTCGCAAAATTCCTACGCGTCGACAGATTACTCAATGATATTTGACAAATTGATGTATGAAAATTAAAGCAATAAAAGAAAAGAGACACAAGGATTTGTCTTCACAATTTCCCACTTTCGTCCTCGTGTATATGTACGACTGCGACTAATTCCAATGGAATTAGGATAATTCTTACTATACAAAAAGTTGATACAAAAGAAGTGTTCAAGAGCAACTCCACAAACCCTAATGCTTGTTGTTGATTCAACCCCTTCTCTTCCTTTGATCTTGAGAAAGACCAAAACACAATAGATCCCAATTGATATGTCGATATTGCTACTCCTTTGCGTTCTCTATCTCCAAAGCTTTTGCGCACGATCAATTGTACCTATTGCAACACAAGACTTCAATTCGACCCGTCATTCTCTTGATACTTCCTCTGCGTTCTTTATCTTCAAAGGATCCTTTGTGTTTTTTATCTCCAAAGGACTTCACTAGGCCGCAATCCTCTCTTGAATGTCTTGTACAAAACCTCCTAAATCAATCAACGATTTTGGAGGATAAACTCGCAGTTTTTTCAGATAAAGACCCCTACAATTCTCAATTTAATATTCTCGATTACATAAGAACTTAATTGGACATTATCAAACCTCGTCTAGATGGCACCCCAATAAAAGATCGTTACAATGGTTTATTAGTGTGTATGCATAGGTTGGAGGTTGAAGATGAAGAGCAATTGCAGGAAATTTTTATGGTATCATTAAGTTGGAATGATGTATAATTATTTATAGTTATGGAAATATTGGGGCAAAAGAGGGAATTCAGAATTAAAAGAAGATAGAAAATCTAACCCATGAAACAGTAGAAGCTGACCTGTAACTTGCATGTGCCGATTCATAATATTAATTTTAAGAGTATAAGTCATCCTGAAATGATCTATAACCCGACCGGACCTAGACATAAGCAAACTGCTTATTTATGACAGTACATGAGCCGGCCTGAAAGGCTGCATGAATTGGCCTGACTAAGGTAGAGGCAAAACTGCTTATTTAGAGTAGTACATGAGCCAACCTGAAAGGCAAATGCAGTGCAGAAAATGATTTTTCAAGACTGGAATATTTTTGACTATGTTTCAAATTATTTTTAAGACCTCTAAATGCGTAGGGTGCCATCCGAACTCAGAGATACTGCTCAATACACATAAATGATATATTCTTATAGTTTTGACATCATATAAAACACAGCTAGAGGAAAGTTGCACTCACATACCCCCTATTTTTGATGATGGCAAAATTGCGACGATGACTTTTATATTTATTTGACGCTCCCCTGACTATGTGTTTCCCAACTTCATCTAACATATCCTTCTTCCCCTTCGACAATATCAAAAAGAGAACAAGCATATCATTAGAAGTATCATAGTTTTCCATAACAACCAATATATCATACATAGGAGATTTTACATAGAAGATCAACAATCACACACGCGCGCACACACACACACACACACACACACACACACACACACACACACACACACACACACACACACACACACACACACACACACACACACACACACACACACACATATATATATATATAATGATGCGAAATTGATAAATAACCGATAAAAGACATTATAATATATGTAATGCAATTGCATAATTAATAAAGAATGCAAGTAAGAGTAAACTTTTCAAGTTGCGTCTATAGCATCACGATTACGTAACTCAATATAATGGAATTCCCGATGCCGCACACACATGTGCCTAGCATAGCAACAAGAACATGTCACTACTAAACCAAAATGAAGATGTCATAACATGTGACCAAATAAAACATGAAACACATATACTATTAACTCAAGCATAAATGCAAGAAATAAGGTTAAATGAAACACATGCTTGCACAATAAGAACAAACTTATACAAATGTGAAAGAGTTAATACATGAAGTCATTATAAGCATATACATTGAGAACACACAATGTTAACAATTATAAATTTTTGAAAATGAACATTCAGAGTTTTCATCATTTGAGAAAATATTAGGCATTTTTAGCCGACAATAAACATGCATTAAGACAAATCTTATTTTCAAGGAGAAATTGAAACAATATTACCTCACTCTTGATGGAACGATAGTTGCACTCACATGATGTAAAATAATCAAACAAATAGTTAGAGTGAAAGTATAAAGTGCAAATAACATGATATGATTAAGAAACATTGGAGATATCGATGATCCCCATTTCCCCATGTATGTTAAAAAATGGTTCGTTTGCGAGAGGTTCAGTGAAAATATCGGCAAGTTGATTTTTAATATCAACATGCTCGAATACAACATCCTCTTTTTCAACATGATCGCGAAGGAAATGGTGACGTATCTCAATATATTTAGTGTGGGAATGTAGCACAAGATTCTTGGTTAAATTAATGGCACTATTGTTGTCACACATGATAGGAATACATGAAAGTTTAATATCAAAATCAAGTAATTGTTGCTTAAGCCACAAAGTACCGACAACCACGTATCCCGCTTCGGTTGTTGACAAAGCAACAAAACTTACTTTTTTCTATGCCAACTCACCAAGGATTTTGAAAACATGTGACAAGTTCCACTAATACTTTTCCTATCTAATTTGCAACTTACAAAATTGGAATCAGAGTACCCAACTAAGCTACTATAGTTTCTCTTGGAATACCAAAGCCCAAACTTATAAGTACCAATGAGGTATCTAAGTATATGCTTAACTGCGTTTAAGTGCGATTCTTTGGGATCTGATTGATATCGTGCACATATAAAAACGCTAAACATAATATCGAACCTATATGCAATAAGATATAGGAGAGAACAAATTATACCTCTATACCTTTTGACCTCAACATCCTTACATTTTTCATCTCTATCCAAATTGTCATTTGCTTCCATAGGTGTGTCAATTTCCTTTGCACTGTCCATGCCAAATCTCTCAAGTAATTCAAGACAATACTTTGTTTGACATACAAATGTTCCTTCATCGAGTTACTTAATTTATAGTCCAAGAAAGTAGTTCAACTCTCCCAATAAACTCATTTCAAATTCTCCCCCATAAGCTTAGAGAACTCCTTAACAAGATGCATGCTAGTTGATTCAAAAATGATATCATCAACATAAATTTGAACAAGTAAAATGTGTTTTCCTTGACGTTTAATAAAGAGTGTAGTTTCTACCTTCCCTCTAGAGTATCCTTGATAAAGAAAGAACTTGCTAAGTCGGTCATACCATGCCCCGAGGCTTATTTAAGACCATACAAAACACATTTTAGCTTAAAAACATTATTAGGAAACTCATAATTTTCAAAACTGAGAGGTTGTGAGACATACACTTCTTCATTTATATATCCGTTAAGGAACACACTTTTAACGTCCATTTGATACAATTTGAAGTTCTTAGAGGAAGCATATGCTAATAAAAGGCGTATAGCCTCGATTTGGGCAACTAGAGCATAAGTATCCTCATAATCAATGCCTTCCTCTTGGTTATACCCTTGAGCCACAAGACAGACTTTATTCCTTGTTATCACACCAAGCTCGTCAAGCTTATTCCTAAATACCCATCGAGTTCCTACAATTTGATGAATTTGTGGACGAGGGACAAGGTCTCAAACATAATTTCTTTCAAATTAATTCAATTCTTCTTGCATGGTCATAAGTCAATTCTCATCAAGTAAGGAATCCTTAAAATATTTAGGTTCAACTTGTGATACGTACGTGTGGTGATAACAAAAATTATTTATCTTAGAGCGAGTTATTAGCCCTTTGGTGATATCACCAATAATATTGTCAATCATATGATCCTTGGAGGTTATCCACTCCAATGGAAGACCATCATCTTCTTGTTGACTTAGATCTTCATCCTTCTTTTATTGGTT